TAAATGCTTTGACAATAAATACATAAAAAATACATAAAAAATGTAATCTGTGGAAGCCGTAGTACTGTAAAAAGCACGACCAATCATCTGAGCTGGCCCGGCTAAAGTAACTGGATGGCCTACCTGCCTGTCAGCCTTCCATCTGTGCACAAACTTATCTCGTGCCCTCATTGGTCATGTGCGCGTTCGTGTGTGTTGGAGGAGGGGCTCTGCAAGGAAGTCTGATGGAAGGCGCAGATTTTCTTCGGCTGTGTACTTTCAAATTCTAGCGCACTCGAGCTGGTTTCTCCATTCTTACCTACCCTGCCTTTAATGTACCTCGTATTTTTACTAACAAAAATATCCTTTGCCTTTAAGTAGAAGACCAAGAACTAGAGTAGGCCAGTTAAAATGGTTCACTCAGCTCTCATCTCTGTCTGCTTTCTCATTCCTTCCTCTCACGAGGCAGTCTTATGATTTTGCCACACAGCAAGATACGAGTTCCACAGCTAATGAAAGATCAGTTCCCATCTAAATCCATCTACACTTAGTCATTGGCCTTATCCATGTACACTCTCAGCTGATCAGTATCTCTGAGTGTCACAGTTGAGGTGTTTCTAATAATGTCTCAAAGAGATACTTTTCTGCTGATTCATGCTGCTCCTGGCAGACGCTACTTTTCCTTTCCGCTTCCTACACTCTGTCCTGATGTGCATCTCCACTAGCTCAGCCTCCTTGTGTTTCTTATCACCATACTTGCACTGAGTTTTGTTCATAACTTGCAACAAGTTATTCTTACTGTATCTCCTTTTTACACAAAGCCTTACCTCTGATAGGGGATAACATTTGACATGTGTGCAAAGATCTGACTGTCCCTGTTCACTTAAGACGAGGATGGAAAGTATAAGTCTCTACTCATCCATCAAATGAAACAGGACTTCGCTTGGACATGGCAGACAGTGGGGGTGTCCATGTGTATCTTTATCTCCTATGATTATGTATTTTTTCACAAACCCTTTTCAGTTTTTTCAAATATCGAATACTCAGTTCTCCCTGCACTTTACTGCGAGTGCATTATGTGACTTTCGGTTCATTTTGTCTCCATGATCCCACTTCTGTTTGCAGTGTTAATCTGACTAATAAGTAAGAGCTGCCATTCCAGTGACAAGATGATGATCCCTCACTGGCTTACAACTTGCAAACCCCGCCACACTGAACCCGTAATGCTAGACTTTTTGGGCTTGAAACTTCACTTTGGATATAACACAACAGTTTTGGCAAAACAAACGTTTGACCCCACCTCTGGATTATGATAATCCTGCAGACATTTTCTTGAATAGAAACCTGTCATAATAAAGCCAGGCCAGGTCATACAACGTGTTTTGATTAATATGCATCAATGGAAAACATGACAGTGTCCAGAATGCCCCAAAACAACTATGACAAAACATAAATTGTGGGGATGACAATCCCATCGTCATCAATCATCAAAAGATTTCCAAAACCTTCTGACAATTCAACTTTATGTTAAAAGGGTTAAGGGTTATCCCTGTTGAGCAACTGTGAAAACATGTATTGCAGCATTTGTGATGTGTGCAGCCTTCCTGGGGCTTTCCCCTCCGGCTGACTAACTGTGACGTACACTTGGGTGTGCGTCTGTGTGAGTGTAGTGGCAGGAGGGGGGTGGGTGGGAGAGACAGACAGCTGTGCAGGCCAGATCTGTAGTTAACAGTAGGAAGCATTCACACTACACATTCTGCTGCAGTGTGTCACCAGACAGTCTTTCTCTTTCCCTCTTGCTGCTGCTTCCCACTCTTTTCCCTTCACTTTTCTCATCTTCCTGTTTCTCCCTATCCCATACACACACTCACATGTGTGACTGTGTGTGTGACACACACACACACACACACACACACACACACACACACACACACACACACACACACACACACACACACACACACTTTTGTCTCTCTTTCCCCTCCCCCAGCTACAGACTCCCCCTTTCCCTTCCTTCATCCCTCCCCAAAGTTTCCCGCTATAGTAAATGAAGTAGTATCTCTTTGACTGCTACCACTTTTACCACTACTTCCTCCTTCCTTCTGTGGGACTGTGCTCATTCCTGGATTACACCTCACCCACACATGTACAAATACTCTTCCTTCTTCCGAAAAAAAATAGGAAAACCAAGAAAAAGTTGCTTCAACGACAGAGTAAAGCTGTTCTCGCTTCTCCCAGACGGGGTGTGTCAAGGCTTTTGTCTCTCAGATGCCGTATTAAATATCAGAGTTAAAAGGAGGGCTGGGGGGGGTCTGTGTGAGTGTGCATGTGCAAAGGTCTTCAGGTTTTTTGTTCTTTAGTGAGAAAGAATGTTGGCACGAAGCTTGCCACCAGGGGAGGAGAAGAAGGTCTGAGTGCTCAAGTGCTGCTCCAGGTTTGTTTCATTTCATTTGCTCTGTAATGAGTCTTGTTACTGCTGTAAGAGGCAGAGAGATCTGACTGGGGAGTTCAAAGTTAAGCCACAGGGAGGGAGGGAAGGAGGGAGGAAGGGAGGGAGAGGAAAAGAGAAGCATGGAAGAGAAAGAAAAAACCTACTAGCCCTCACTTGAAAACTTCTGAACATTTTGGAGACAAGAAGTGCAACAAAGAGAAACTTTTTTACTCCTTAATTTCTCCTTTCTTTCTCTTCCTGCTCCTCCTCCTCACTGCCCCGCACCCTTCTCAAATGAAAACTCTCGCTCAGAGCTCTGCACAGAAACTGAAGCAGAGAAGCTTGCAAGAGGTCTGAAAAAGTTGGCTCTGCCTGTCCATGACTGTGCGTCTGTGTGTCTGCTGGAGTGTGTGCGCCTCTCAGAGTGTGTGTGTGTGTGTGTGTGTGTGTGTGTGTGTGTGTGTGTGTGTGTGTGTGTGTGTGTGTGTGTGTGTGTGTGTGTGTGTGTGTGTGTGTGTGTGTGTGTGTGTGTGTGTGTGTGTGTGTGTGTGTCTAGGTCTGTGTGGGAATGATTACATCAGCCTGCTGCTGCCTTATGATTGGTTGGTGAGCGTGTGGTTTGATTCAGTGTGCCTCGGAACCCGTGGCTGAGGCTGTAACCCTTTGTGAGGGGGAGAGAGAGAGAGAGAGAGAGAGAGAGAGAGGGAGGGAGGGAGGGAGGGAGAGAGAGAGAGAGAAAAAGAAAGATAGTTGTCAGACTCAACCGGCACTGGAAGCACTGTACCTGCTGCCATCCAATCACTGACTGTCTCTGTGTCTGTCTTGTGAGCTGCAGCTTTAGGTCACACAGACAGTTTTTTTTTTTGAAAGACAGAGCCGGCGGCCTACATAGACTGAAGGACTGTCTGCAGGCTATGTGACAGGTAGCACAACTGTCATCTGTCGCCACTGTATCTCTGGAGGACACAGGGCTACACAACTGAACGGATTTTGTATTAGTGACTGTGAGTGTGACTGTTTGTATATGTGTGTGTGTGTGTGGGGAGCCAGGCTCACTCCAAAAATGCCTTCGTGTTCCCCGGACTGCTGCCTATTGCGGGCCGAGGTAAGACCGCTCTCTTTCTGTGTCTCTTATCTCTCCCTGTGTGTCTCTGCCTTTCCTTGCCTCCTTCTCTCTTTCCATTTCTCTTTGAAGTACTGCCAGGGGCGAGACATGGAATGTGTAAATACATTAAAGGCTGAAGACAATTTGTCTTTTTTCGAGATGTGAGCAGAGCAGTTTAAATAAGGCGTCAAATAGGACAGCGGTTTTGAATGATTGAGGCTCCTTTGCCTCTCTTCTTGAACATGTTGGATATGTTAGGAGCCTCAGGCCTGGTTTGTACAAACTGTGAGGCTACAGGCTTCTTCTTTGCCCTCCAAGGGAAAAGAATTTCTTTGTAATGTCATATATTATGTGGGAATTATACATGACATGCGTAGGATTAGTAGGCTGGATTCCTGTGTAGGCTAACAAGGCTGGATTTATCTGCAGGTTAGGGAGGCTGTTTGTGTTTTCTGTGGGACATGGGATTATATAGTTTTCTTTTGAAAAGCAAAGATAAGGAAATTAAGGAATATTTACCACTTTAAATTTGTTATGGGAAATATAATTCCTTGATGTTTTCTTGATCTCCAACAAGTCAAGGCTCCCAGTATATAAAATAATATATCTGGATGTAAATTGATGTCTCTTACACGGATGAGATCTTAGAGTGTAACCTACTCCGAGCCTGATGCACTGTTGCTATACAGTTTATCAGTGTACAGGTCAGTAGTTGCTAAATATGTATCTGAGTATGTATTGAGTCAGTATTATTAATGTAAACTGAAATAAAAATGATTGTAATTCCTGGATTGGATTAATACTGGCTCAAAATATATACCTGTGTTTATGAAGTTGGAAGAAAGAAACACTTTTCCAATAAGCTATAATTAGAAACACCATGCTAACTTCCTCTTAAGCTACAGTACAGTATCCATTCAGTGTAGACTGCCCTTCTTTGTGTTTACAAGGGCAGACGCTTGTTATGCACTGCACTTTATTTGCTTCTATATTACACCAACAAGTTGCTATAAGAACTGCTTGCCTGTGATTTCTAACACCACAATTGCTACATAGTTTTGAATGTCTGTCCTTTTCTATTGTGTGCTATAATTACAGGCCTGTGTATTCTATATTGTATGGGACGCTATATGATAAATACTGTGCTAGTGTTTGAAGAAAATTGCTGGCTTCACCCACCTATTAGGCCGAGTGTTCAAAAAATGGTTTGTGTTAAATGACTTTATCGCAAGTTCCTTCTGGGGTTACCATAACAATGTAAATTCAAACCATCTCATGCTAAATGTATCCTTGACAGATGTAACAGTTTATTAATCTTAAGCTTCATTTCCCTCACATCAAGGACATCCTTATAACTGGTTTGACAGCATTCTTGTCCTTTTTTAAGATTTCATTTTTGAAACACCTCCGTCTCTAGTTTACCAGACTTCCTTGAAATGATCCCTCTTAATGTAAGTTAACTCAAATTATTTTTTCTCCTCCTAGATTGTGAAGATCTTCAGTGAAGACGGCATGGGTAAAGTGGTGGAGATCCCAGCGGACATGACAGCCAGGGACCTGTGCCAGCTCCTGGTTTATAAAAGCCATTGTGTGGACGACAACAGTTGGGCACTTGTTGAACACCACCCGCTGCTAGGACTAGGTAAGGGGCAGAGCCCTGCTGGCTCAAATACACACACACACACACACACACACACACACACACACACACACACACACACACACACACACACACACACACACACGCACACAAAGAACATGGACAAACTCTCACAAACCCACACAGCACATCATGGATTTTTGGGTGGGCTGAGACATGCAATACAATCACTGACTTACACAGGTGCACTCACATAAATGTATGCATGTCTGCATACTTGGGAAGACAGGCGCATATTCTCACGCAGGCATGTTTTCAAGCACGAGTGCATGCACATGCTTTACAGAAAATGCGCAGAGCCATAATGTCCAGTGATCTAATCATGTCTAACACAATGGCTGTGTAAAAGGTCAATGGAGTAGTGCTTTATTAAGCATACAAGGAAGGGAAACAGTTTCTTGTGGAAAAATCCGAGACAAATATTGAGCTGCTTGTCATTAAAAAATATGTAGGTTAAACGTCAAATCTGCCTGTGCAGAGGATAAAATTATGAAGGTGGACGAGGCATTGCACATGGGTTCAGGGTTGCACGGATGATTTTCTGACTTAATATTTAGGAGAACATTTTAGTTGAGTAAAGTGAATATGACGTGCAAGCTGCCTGAGTTGAGTGTTGCCTATCCAGTCTCTGGCTCCGGTGTATAATATGCTTGAAGCAGCATGAACAATTATGTTAATTAATTATCTATTTCCAAAAGTTATTGCTCTGGCACAATTTCCATACGTGGAGAAAGCCTTTCCTACAGAGGTGGAAGAAGTACTCAGACTGTGTACTTAAGTAAAAGAAGCAGTACCAGAGTGTTGGACTACAATAAATGTAGTGGAGTAAAAGTACATGATTTACCACTGAGTTGTAGTGGAGTAGAAATAAAAAGTACCAAAACATTGAAATACTCAAGTAAAGGTAATCATTTAGGGTTATGCATCAGGAGATGCATTACTGATAAAACGATGCAACTGATGAACATAGTATCAAAACCTTTGGCTGACTTGTGCCTTTTTCAGTGTCAGAGTTGGTGTAATGCTATCGATCCAGTTCTATAAATGACACTGCAGAGAGGTGATGGAAAAGATTGATGGAGAGTTTAAAAGGCCATGTTTCAAGTCAAAGTTTCTTCAGACCAAGAGCAACAATACCACCATCACCACTCTCCTTAAAATAGAAGCCCTCAGTGCATCAGACACAGACCTCATGACTAATGCAGCATAATAAGATCAAAGCCATGATACTCAGGAAGGAGGAACCGTTTTCTATGCAGAACATTTCATTTGATTATACAGATTTAGTTGTTGCATTTTAGTTGGCCTGACATTAGCACTGGGTAGAAAGTTACACAGTAGATTCTTCATGGATTCAGGAATACTGTTTGATATTTGAGAAAGTGGAGGCGCTCACTGAGCTTGGTGTCTTTGTACCAGCTTGTAAGGAAAAGTAGTCTTAAAAACCCTTGATCAATCCCTAGAGTAGAGCATCTTTTTTATGTGTTGCTTCATTACCACGGAAGAGTGTTTTGCGTTTCTGTCGGGCTGATTTTGTATTAGACTTGGCAGTATAACTGTACGTTGGAAAAGCTGTGGTCAGCTGAACGTTAGAAAACCCAACCTCCCCCTGAGGAGAGGGCGATTATAAAGCACTTATGGAAGACAAGTTGAGCCTGTGCTCATGTCTTTACAGTTTAACAGATGTGGGAGAGGAGGGGGTGTAGCTTTATTTAGAGCAGTTTTCCTGTTACTGTACATGCTGTAGGAAGAGACATGGTGGAAAAAAGTGGAATTCTGCTGTCACGACTAACATAATTTTCTTGCCTGATGTGCTGTCACCTCAGGAAACTTTTTGAAAATATATTTGCATTATTCAAAGTGCAGGTCCTAACACTCTCGCCTAATATTTCACCATCCATCATGATCTGATTACATTTCTCATCAATGCTGCCAAAAGGATGCTGCCAAACACAGTTGCCGGGGCTTGTTGTAAATGACATCACTTTTGGCTCTGAGTAATCTTATTCTATTATAGCCCTCCTTCTATTCCGGGGCACCTGCTCTGCACCCGTATTCTTGCCGTATTTGATGTTCAGGAGTTTCAGAAGATGGGATGTGATAAAGCAACAGTGTGCTGACTGTTCAATTTCAAAAGGTTATCCATTTGCATTGAGTTTGTGTCCACAACAAAATTATCAAAAACGTCTAAAAATTATGCTCATTACACAATTTGTAGTGTCTTTGTAAATGTCAAATTCTATTTAATGGTATTTTCTAACCCTTTGTGCATTGAATGCATTGTATGGCATATTATTTACCATTCTAAGATATTCCAAGTTACTTTAACTGTGGTGGTTGCATTTTGGTTAACCTATTTATTTGTCTAGTACTGATGTTTTTATTCTAGTAGTGTGTATACTGTACAGTATGTTCACGGAGCCACCTAAAAGATAACAGTTGTCGTAAGTTAAATGAATCTTCTGAATCATAGTTGATATCAACAAACTGTATCTGCTGACATGCTGTATCTTCTCAAAGATATTTGTATAGTTATGCAGTTTGTGAAAGTACTGCTTGTGTATGTACATGATCCAACGTGTGTGCAGACTGTACGTCTGCACTGCACATACATGTTATGTGATCCTTCATGTGTGCACATGTGGTTGGGTGGTAGACGAGAATAGAAGTTTCAGAGAGACCCGAACAATAGCGTGTTTGAATAGAGAAGCCTATTCCCGTACATCGCTGCCCACTCGCTGCTGAATGGGATGAAATGGCCCTTTGAGATAAGCAACACTGACCTCCACTTGTCAACCCCAAAAAGGTTAACAGCTCTGGGACAGTGAGGTAGTGTTGCCAGGGTGAGTCACTGTCACGAGCACGAGTGACTCATCAGATAGGCGACAAGATGAAATGGAGAGAAAGAGAAGAGTCGTGACAGTGTCAAAGAGATTGTGACAGAGGGGGAAAACATGAAATGAGATAATGATGAGAGCTGTGCACTCACACATCTCTGAAGTGCTCTATTCCACATCAGGAAACCAATATCAGAGAAAACACTGATATTGCAGAAGTTAGTTAAGCTGAAGCATTTTAATTAGATCTACTGGGGAAAGGAAGGATGTCTTTTATTAAAGACGTGTCAGAGAAGACTTGTTAGGCTGTTGGGATTGAGTGAGTCATGACCGGTCGAAGCATTGGCAGGCACAGAATATAAATCACCAGGACTTCTGAACACGTCCATACAAGGACACACTCTTAGTGGAATCACAGCCTCTTTTGCTCACTTTGAAAGGGGAAGGCCAGTGTGATCATCAGTCACAACTTGTGTGATGAGTGCATGCCATTAAAAGCAACCTGCATTTCTAAATATTCTGACACACCACTGAGCTGGCCAAATTATATGTTTAGAGCATTTAATAATTTACGGTCATTTACGGTTGATTATTTGGGGAAAATATTCGTATCTATTTTGAAAAATATATTGTAAAAAACGTGATTGTGTTTTGTTTGGTCTGTTCATTTCATTTTATAGGCTGGGACATCTCTGCAGCACAACCATACTTATTTTTTTTTTATGATATTTTGGCACAACAATTGTGTGCTTTTCATAAAATTCAGATTCATTGATTAGCCCTAGACATTTTTTTTTTAAATGTTGAATTGATTATTGGCCAATGTTATTATGGCACAAGCAGGCGTATCCACACCTGGTGTTGTTAAAGTCTGCCCTTTCCAAGTGCAAATGTCGCTAACTGTGACCAAAATCTTATTTGAATCTTGTTGGCATAACAACACATGGAACAAACATCTGACTTGACATGGAAAGATGAAACATTTTGAACAAAACAATGCACTGGTTTTAAGTGTTGTTTCAGTGTTATCCGGACCATATTAGATCAATCATATTTGTGTTTTAAAGTAAAAATTACTTGTTGCGAAACAGTCAGTGTGGTTTTTCTTTCCGTTTCATTTGGTTGTGTTTCTTGACTTTTTGGTCCTTTAATTCTAAAATCTTCAAATGTATTTTCCATGGTGCTTGTGTAGCTTACTCAGAACATTTGTAATATTTAAGACTGCAGTATATTGAGAAATACACATATTCAAATATTGCATTAGCTCCGTTGACTGTCATATTAATGTTCATTTTATTTGACAATTCTGTAATAGTAATCATATATTGTATATAGAATAATAAATGCTAACCTCATTCCTTGTTGTCCTCTCTCTGCCTGTCCCCTCAGAGCGCTGTCTAGAAGACCACGAGCTGGTGGTTCAGGTCCAGGCCTCTATGAACAGCGACAGTAGATTCCTCTTCAGGAAGAACTATGCCAAATATGAATTCTTCAGAAACCCCCTGGTAAATTCCTTTTTTAAAAACATTTCTTATCATGTTGTGTCACTTTCAGCGTTGTCTTTTTGATATAAGTTAAACCAATACTCCTACATTTAAAAAATGCAGGTATTCGTGGACTGTGTCTTTGCATTTTTGTCATTTTTTAAAGATTCAAGTAAGGAGTTTACTCGTGTAATTTGCTCTAAAGAGTGGCCAAAGGAAAGAAAGACATTTCGTTGGACCGAGTGTCTCACTTGGTTTTGGGATCTTGTGAAATATTATGACAGCTGACCGTACTAATGAGATTTGCGCAACGTTTTCTTCCCCCTCACAAATTCCTACCTATTAATTAACCTATAATTATTCAGGGTGTCCGCTGGGTCTTAAAAAGTATCACAAGTTGATAAATCAATTTAGCGAAAATTAAGGCTATTAAAAAGTATTAAACTGCATTTTCCAAGGTATTACATTTTGTAGCTTGTTTTCAATAAGTATATAAATTGTCCAAAGAGGTTGTATTCTACAGTCTGCCTGAATGTAATCATTGCGTAAGTGTGCAGTGTGATTCTGTGTAGTTTAGTTATGGCATCCCGTTGGATTTGACGTCATCTGAACAGGACATCGCACGCTCACTGCTTGATAGCGCGCGAAGGCCCGTTTACGCCGGTTGTTAAACAACATCGTTATGGGGAAATGCAAGTTTGCGTCCAAACGGTTGGAAGATAAGGAGGAAGGACAATCAATACTGCATATAGTCAATGTGAGGTAAAGTGTGTCGCCAATGTAACCGGTTAGAACTCTAAGTGGCGATGAGGTCTTAAAATGTATGGAAAGGGTCTTAAAAAAGGTCTTAAAAGGTCTTACATTTGACTTCAGGATTCCTGCATATACCCTGTTATTGTCAGTCAATAATATTCTCCGTCTGTCTGTCTCCATCTCTCTCGTCTTTCTTCTTCCCCCAGACATTTTTCCCTGAGCAAATGGTTGCATGGTGCCAGGAAACCAACCGTATGATTCCACCATCTCAGCTCCTCCAGGTATGAGCAGCACACGCACGTTTCCCTCTCTGTCACTCTCTAAGTCTCTCTCCTCCTCCTGACACGCACAAAGCTTACTTTACCTCCGAGTCAGCACCCGCTGCATACGGTACAATCAGGCTGACATACCTCACCTCTGACCCTGAGACAGGGTGTCTCGTCAGAGCCTGCAGTAATAACTACCGTTGATCCCCTGTTGACACACGGCTGTCTCTGCACACGCACCGCAGGCCTCACACTTGCGATGCATGGAATTAGGCAGTCAGAAATAGAACATACCTACAACATACCTCATGTATGTTTTCACAGCACAAATTCACACCTGTGTGTCTTAATGCTTCTTATCACAGACCACTCATGAGCCGTCCACTGCTTTCACAAAAGAGATGAAGAAAAGTCTGGGAGGAGACCAGACAAAAGGTTTCTCTGGATTTTGAGGAGCTTTGTTCTTAATGGACGGAGGGTTTACATGCAGTCTGGCTCTCTCCTGTATCTAGTAATGGAGCTGTCAGAGACAGAACCACAAGTGGAATCCATCCCTTCATCCTTGCCACTCACAGAAAGCTTTTAAGTCCCCTGCTGATCATACATACGTTATGCTCTACATAGAGGAGTCAATAAATGAATGGGGAATGTGTTGAGCCTGAGTTGTGCAGGAATCCCCAGTGTTTGACTTATTCTAAACACAAGATCTTTGCACTCCGTTAGAGTGCTGTCCAAACCGAGAGGGTTCTGACCCGAGCTCAACCAGGTGTTAGCAATATTTGCCATTTATGCAAGAAACACCTGTCAACGCAAAGCATAAGGCTGTAGAACCTCAAAAAGAAAGCGGTTTGAATGAACGTCGCGTGTGAGCGTGCGCTCCGAAAATCTCGGAACTTGCTCATGCATGAGTCCCTCTGTGGGGTGTTTCCAAAGCACTGGGGAACATGTGCTTTAAATACTGAGTCCTCTGGAGCAGTTTGCCTTCAAGCCACAAGCCGCAGATTCCAAATCACCTCTAATAGCTCAACCACTTCATGGTGCGATATTTTAGTGAAAAATAGAAACCACATTTCAAAGTATTTCATACACCTACTCGACAATTTACGCTTAAGGGGTTTCCAATCGGAATACACTGTATGTTGATTTAATGCATTTGCAGTATCTCTACTGGATTGTATAACACAACACTTTGTCTTTAGTTTTTAAAATAGAAACTATGATTGTTTGCTGCTTAAATTATATACTAAGTTGTGTATGTATACACACATGCCAAAGTCAAGATCCTGTCTACCTTCCTCTGCCCTCTTCAAGACTCTACACCCTAAGATTGTTCAGACAACAGCAAAATGTCTTGCCTCATAGTGGTTGCTACCGTTCTGTGTAAGCACTCAAGCAGCCGCCCATCTCCACAATCATCTGTTAGTTTTGCACTGATGCAAGGAGCCCAAATGACACTGTGTTCTTTGACAAAAAGCAATTGCCTCCCATCTGTGATGCCTCTACAGATGGTGTCCGCTACAGCTGATAGTATCTGAGAGTGTGACAGGGACACAGAGCTTATAGGCTTCAGATGTGATCCAACATTGCCCTCCGGAGGCTGAGGGCCCTTGATGGAGGACATTATAGAGAGAATACATAGTCCAACATGAGGGAATCAGACCGACCTGATTAATTTACACCAGGTCTCACATCTCGCATGTCTTTTTACTGATGTATTATATGTATATGTTGTAAGTTCTCCTATCTGATTTCTGTTGGTCCCTATCTTCATTTGTCACTTTTGGGGTGAAGATGTCTAGGGATGGGTTGATGTTTTGAGCTGAATTTGTTTTATTGTTTTCCATGTCGAGAAAAACACATTGATTCAGCTTTTGTCCAAAATACATACACAATAATATTTTCAAAATGTGTATATACTGTAGATGCATTTTGTAATCATTACTCCCTTCCTTTCCTCCCTCAGAACTTCCTAGCGACCAGTAGCTGTCCAGAGATCCAGGGGTATCTGTATGTGAAGGAGGTGGGAAGGAAGTCGTGGAAGAAAGTTTACATATTCCTTCGGCGCTCGGGACTCTACTGCTCGACAAAAGGAACCTCAAAGGTGACAGAAACTCAAAATCTGAATATTTTTCCGTGTCATTTTTTTAGCATGTTCTTTTTTTTTTACTTTGTAACTACAGTCTTAACCTCAATGTTAAAGTTTCAACAGCATAAATATGTGAAATGTTATAACCTTTAAATCCGCCTTTTATCGATGGAGGTCCCTGTTCTGGTCTGTGTCTCTGTCACCTCCTGACTTATTCATTATTTCTGTCTCCAGGAGCCCAGACATCTACAGTTTCTAGCAGACCTTGACGACAGTAACATCTTCACTGTCAACACAGGCAGAAAGCAGCACGGAGCACCGTCAGACTACGGCTTCTGTATCAGGGTGAGTGACATCAAGCTGATGTCCAATTAAATGTTATGGGGTGAGGAATGATTGACATCCTGTGCTGCTCCCCCTGAATTTGTTACATTTGTATTATTGTTGGGGTGCTGGTAGCGATTATTATGAATGATCTGTGTTCTCATTCTGTCAAATGTTAACTTACAGCCCAATAAATGTCGAGGGGAGCTCAAGGAGTTGAGGATGCTGTGTGCGGACGATGAACAGGGCAGGACGTGTTGGATGATGGCCTTCCGGCTCTTTAAGGTAACTAGGGGTGCAACAACTAATCGACTTAATCGATTAGAATCGATTACCAAATTAGTTGCCAACTAATTCAGTCGTCGATTCGTTGGTGACGTCATCACGTGTGTTTTGCGCGCCGTTAAGCTCCAATGTTATTGGTCTTTTTATCGGTACTGGAGACATGTAAAAAATATATGTCATGTATTGTTGCTACAAAAACATTATATTACAGTCTTAGTGTCGCCAACTTGTTTCTAACATGCAAAAAGAAAAACAAATGCGTCTATGATGTATTTTCGATCAGACGAGATCTCTCTCCCCCGTCTGTGTGCGAGGGGGCGGGGCAGTTTACACACACGCAGCTGCTACATGCAGCAACACACTGCGGAGATGGCGGAGAGAACGTGCTCCGAGGTGTGGTTAAACTTTACCCGTCTCGATGTGGAAAATGCTCGTTGCCAAAAGTGCAATAAGAGTTTAGCATGTAAGGGCGGTAACACGAGCAATTTGTCTAAACATTTAGCAAAAGTGCACCACATTCAGACGGAGAAATGCACCGGGTTCGACTGTCTTTCTAGAAGCTCTGTAGCCCCATCCACGAGTAACGTTTCCACGTCAGGTGTTATGTATGCTAGCAGCAACACACAAAGTTAACTACATTATACAAACATGGGTTAATGATTAGAGGTAACTGAGTTATTTATTTTGTTAAAGTTTCAGCTATTCTGTTTACAGTTCTGTCATCATATTATTTAATACGATTTGTTAAAACACTGTTGTTTCTCTTGATGTGAAACATTATTTATTTTATTTAAATAAAAAACAATTTTAATTTTGTTCAAAATGTGTTTAGTTAATTTAATAATATATGTATTTTTGAATCAAGTATTCATCTTTATTGTCTTCATTGTTAGTTTCCACATGCCTAAAACAACCTCAAGCTAAATCTAAAAGTTGATGGCTAAATCAGAGCGTTTGAGAAATTGTGCAAGGCATACAGTAATAGTCCGAATAGTCGATTAATCGTTTCATTAATCAATAGATTAATCGATTATCAAATTAGTCGTTTGTTGCAGCCCTAAAGGTAACGCCATAATAAATGTCCTATATAATAACGGTTTTGATTACAAGTGTACGCCACAGTCATTAAGAATTGTGATAGTCTTGCTTAACCAGCTTTCTCCTTTCCTTTACAGTATGGAATTCTGTTGTACCAGAACTACAAGATTCCCCAACAAAGGAAAACATTACTTTCACACTTCTCGGCACCTGTGGTAAGTTTACTGATGAACTTTGCTTTTACTAACTCCCAGATTTCTGAAATAAGCAAAACATGAATTGTACGTGAATACTATTGTTATGCAGGCACTAGGAACAGCTCTAGATATTTGTCTGATCATTTAAAGAAGAATTTAAACTTTTTTGCTCTGCCTGTGTTTGCAGTCTTACATCGCTGCACTTTTCTCCCTGCCTTTGTCCAACATTTGACTGTTGAACTCTGTCTCCCCCTAGCGGAGTGTATCGGAAAACTCCCTTGTGGCCATGGATTTCTCAGGGAGGATAGGCAGGGTGATTGACAACCCTGTAGAAGCTCAGAGCGCTGCCATGGAGGAGGGACATGCATGGAGGGTGAGACACAGTTTCTGTTCAAATGGAGCCAGCCTTTTAATGGTCACTACAGATGACACAATTTATTTTTGCTTAACTATTCATACAGGTTTAGTTTTCCTCGGGTTGTAGGTGTTGACTTTTTTGTGTCCATAACATATTTGACTTTTCATATAATATCAAGAACACCAGATCATGAACTCATCCCAGTTGTTTTGTCTGTTTGTGGCATCGCTCTCAGAAGAGGAGTCAACGAATGAACGTATTAGGCTCCCACAGTCCTCTACACCACTCCTCACTAAGCTCAGGTAAACGCAAAAGCATTTACATAATGCTTGATCTTGTTCTTTACACATTTTCTGTCGGTTAAAGCGTATTTAGATATATGTTTTCCATTATTCTCTGCAGTCATCCACATAGCTCAGTTGTGGTTCCACGGCAGAATAACCAGAGAAGAATCGCATCGCATTATCCACCAGCAGGGACAAGTCGATGGGTAAGGGATCTGGAGCTAAAACAGATTTTACACACTTTTCCTATTAACTGAATCTGAAAAAAAAAACCTTACTGAAGAGTTATTATTTATATTTTTCCTAACTTAAAATCAAGTCCGTGGATCCTTCTCACAGTGTCTTCCTTTCTCTTGTTTCACAGGTTGTTTCTGCTCAGAGTCAGTCAGAGTAATCCCAAGGCGTTTGTGCTCACGTTGTGCCATCACCAGAAAATCAAACATTTCCAGATACTACCGGTATGCATTGCTTCGATTTTGATTTCCTTTTTCTTTTAATAAATAATGGTCCTGTGAATGTTTATTATTGTGAGAACCTTTCTAGGTATTAATAAATCTTGAGACAAGTGAATGTAAAATAGAAGCGGCCTAGACTTTGACGGTTGTGCTGATCAAAATGATTTTTGTTAAAAGGTATAATAATCTTCCATCTGTTAGCCCATTAACCTAACTTTATAGCAGACAGATTTTTTTGTGAGCTATGTCCGTCAAAAATGGCAAACCTTCAAAAGGAGGATATTGTGAATTTGGTCTAACTTGAATAAATAAGGTTGCTTGTATCCAGGATCTACAATGTAGGAAATCAATATTAAAATATATATTTAAATTCAATACTTGTATATTTCAATACTTGATTTGTTGCCAATGAGTCGGATAATGTAAATGCATTGTTACAGTCCTTTTAAAAATACTTATATTCTCTTTCTGTTTCTTTGGTGTGTCCCTGCTTGCAGTGTGAAGAGGACAGCCAAATCTTCTTCAGCCTTGACGACGGCTCCACCAAATTCACCGACCTGATTCAGCTGGTGGAGTTCTACCAGCTCAACAGAGGAGTGCTGCCTTGTAAACTCAGACACCCGTGCACCTTCGTGGCCTTATGACATCGTCAGATCACCTGACCCCGTCACTTGATCTGACTCTGCCTAAAACAAACAAAACAAGAAGCTGGTGAATTGACTGATGTTCCGCAGTCATTTTGTTCTGTTGTGAGTCCTCTGAAGACTGCTGAATTGTTGGAATCCTTTTGCATGAATGTTGGAGGAGTCGGACTGACAGATTGCTCACAAGGTTCCTCGCTCGAGAAGAGAACAGATAAAGGAAATGAACACTGCCCTTGTGTGTCAATGCTCTTGCAAATTCTTCTAAAATCTTGCTACCCATAGTCATCAATAAGCTTGGACACACAGTGAACCTCAATGTTTATCTTCACAAAGTGTAGACTGTGTTTCCTTTCAACTGGACAATCAGCAGGACCACTCTCTGTTCTCCGAGAACAGACTGTAATCGCATTCAAGTCTTCATCACACGTCCTCAAAACATAAACTGTTGATGGAGAGTTGATTTCTCTTTAGTTTTGCACTCATGGAACTGGGAGTTGCCTTTGATGGTGCATGACTTCTCAGCTGTCTTAAGTGTGAGATGGTGCCACCGCCCTCTAGTGTCATAGGCATGCAAGGACATGTCAGAATTCAACATCGACGATATTTAGAAGCACCAGAAAGAGACACAGAAGTTTGTCAAAGTCAAACTAGCTGGAGGAAAAATCTGGAACTGTTTATTTGTGGACAACACAAAACCTGCATCGCGGCCCTCACAGAAATGCTCATCTCTCAGCACACAGGGTTTATTTTCTTATTGATGCATTCGTTGTTTTGTATTGCTATCAATAGTCTCTTTAATAGTATTTCTTTTTTAATTACCCCTTTTGCATTCTGGATATTTGCAACTTTTCATTATTTGCATGCTCCATTTCCCTAAAGTATGTCCGATGTAACTTCCACAAAAATAGAAAAACATTTATCGAAGGGTGAAAAAACAAGTAATAAAGTTAGAGGATGTTTATAACCATGTAGACAGATGTGTTGCGTGGAAGGTTGGAAAGTGAATCAGTTATTTATTTGGTGGGAAATGTGTATGGAAGAGGCATGGTGAGAGTATCAATATGTTATTCAATTCTCCTGCAAAGGGGAGAATAACCACTAGCATTTCCCTCAGGTGTTTTTCAAGGAAACAAAATAATTACATCAGATCTGGTTTTTCCTGTCCTTGATTCAAATGTTGTCCCACAAATGTACCTCCTGGGAGTTGTGAGATAGAGTTAGATATACATGGTTAAGTGTGACTGTTCATTACATTACATGTAACGCGGCCTTGGTCTGCCTGGCATTACCTGTGTGTACTGACACATCACATATAAGCCTCTTGCCCTCAGCACGCCACCTCTTAATGAAATCAGGCAGAATGTTTTAGAAAGTAAGCTAAAGGTTTGGGAAGAATATGTAATAAGAGAAGCGTATAGAAAAGATATCTGCCTCTCCCTATTCATCTCTTTCTTTCCTCAGCCTGTCTAACCTGGTGTCATCACACTCTCATCGGCATGCTGTGAAAATGGACCTCTGGTACATGATGTGTTTTTGGCAAAACTCTTACTGAGTTAGGTTGAGGATGACAGGAGTAAATAGCCTCAGTTATTGGAAGTATTTTTGATGATATTCCTACTCAAAGTCTGTCACAATTCGGTTCATAGTTACTGTCTTTTAAAGTTGCACCACACACTTTTAATCTCAATCTGGGATATTTCTAGAAACTCACATTTTAATTTGTATGTAGTCAAAACGTTGGTGTCAGCTGGGATTTGGCCACCAGCCAGCAGACCGTTAGATATCCGTTTTTACGTACCTGTAGTGCAAACTCAACAGTCATGATTTATTGACCTGCAGGTTATCTCAAGGTTTATTGTTCTTCTGTGATGCAGAATAGCCTCACCATATTGACTCTGTGCATGGTCACCATTATTTATCTAAGATGCAATGACTCAATCATTTTTTTAAAGTATTGTTGCAGCAAAATGTATTTATTTATCTCCATGTGACTGATTACTTGAAATTTTTAGATGTAATGAAATAGGATCTATTGTTTTTTTGTTTTGGTTCATTCAAAAACTATTTTTTCATCATAAATACTTGGTGTTTAAAAGCACACTGGCATCCATAGTTTAAACATAATTCCAATAGATGTCAAGTGGAATGTTGTTAAACTGAAAAGTTTCCCAAAGCATGAAAAATATTTCCTGCTTTTCTCATTTCTCTCAGACCTTAAAATATCTTCTGTTAAAATGTTTAACCCCTTTACTTTAAAAGGCCTCAAGTGCTCTCATCGTCACTCGATTGTGGTGACCTAAACTAGAACAATAATAATTATTTAAAGTAGTGAAGTCACAAATATTTTGGGAAACTAGGTCAATCAACATTCTCATAATGCACTGTTTAAACCACTTGCCTTGAAAAAAGATTTGTAGAAATTTAGATTTAGAAAAAAAGCCCTTTACTTTCAATTTAAACTTTCGATTAGATTAGATATAATTAAAGAAATGCATAACAGCAGTCCCTACTCACATATGAGCGCAGTAAGGCATAGTCACTATTTTAATCCCCTTAAAACTGCAATGAACAGGAAGTGGATATTCCACACCGATACATCAAACCACACCAGAGCACCGCTGTCAACCTTCTTTCAGCAGAATGAAGCATCTTAATCTGCTAGATAGGTTTTATCATTTGCATGAATGTGGATTTTGAGTTTTTTTTATGTACATATAATGTCACTGATGTTTGATTTGTTGATATTTTTTTAAGAATCTGAACAACATAATAATACATAAATAATGATGTAGTCTAAAATCCCCTAAGATTTTATTCAGCCTGCCCAATCATCTTTAAAGTCCCAATATTTTATTATTGTTACTGAATGACGTGAATGGTAGCAGATGTCAACCTGTGAGGGAAAGGTAGCCTTTAAGGGTGAGTGAGTATTTGCATATCCACTTACTCTGAATGAAAAAGACAGAAAGTAACTTCAATTCGAACACGTAAAAAAAAAAGCTCCACGTTTTTATACTTAACAGAAATGAATGTAACTGGGTTGCTCAGGGTTGACTTAGAGCGTGTTAAAACTACTGGTCCATCAACTCTCTTGGACTGTTGTGTACAAGATGATGAGGGATTTATAATTACCTTAGGTTTGGTAAACTCTGTGGTCACAACATACTTTTCTTTCATTAAATGCACCACCATTCTGCTAGTTGTGAATACTTGAAAAATATCCTTGCAGAAAATGGAGTAAATCCAGTGCTATTTAAAAAGGACACTTGACAGTGTTGTTCATTTGATTGTTTAGGCTGTTTATAAAGGAAAGCGCCTACAACACTTGCCTGGTTACCTGAGCTGATTTAAACCCTATCTCTAACATTTTTGACAATTTAACCACAGTTATCATATGGCAACAACATCTATTCATTAAGAAATCTTAATATTTCAATTAAATCAGGTGAAATTATAATGTTATCTGATCGATTTAATCATGCAAAAAATGTAAATACAATTCCTAATAGAAAAGGGCACAATCAGTTCTGGTTACAAATACACCCCCCTTATGGTTTCAGTTTGTTTTTGGAGTTGGAAGTGAATTAGCCCCGATCCTGCAAAAGTGGATTAATCAATTATCATCTCAACTCATGCATTTTCACTATGTTGTCACATTGCAAGATACCGTGGCTGTACAAATGAGTAAAGAAAAAAGATATCTATATATGAAAATATAAACTATTATGTATTTCAGGGAATGCAAAAAAGAAAACAGTAACTTATCTCGTTTTTTCAGAGAGAGCTCCTGTATTCGAAATGTGCTTTGCTTAATTCTGTAAATAGTTGAATGGCTTATACATTTTAATTGTAACCTTTTCAGGTATTTTTGTACAAATAAGGGACTGATATATTCTGTTTATTGTAATTAGAATAAAACATTAATACATTGATATAAAAACCTCAACTCTGTTTGTCTTTATTAATGGAACGTTATTATGCGACATTTGCTAACTAAAGGATGTAGCAGTGCTGAATCAGATTTATTTATTAGACCTGCACAGTGTTGAATAAACCGTACTGCATGTAGACTGATTTTGATAATTATTGTTTGTTCAGATTTAGGTGTGCTTAGAATCTGAAAAACAATAGGTGTTATTTTAGGTAAAATACCCATAAGGTCTAATGTTTCAATCTGTCTATTGATTTAAATGAGGATATTTGCTTTGCATGTACAATACAGATGTCTTTGTTTAAAACACCTGTCAGCAGTGATGGTGTATCTACTTCCTTATTGGTCCTAAAACAAACGCAGGTTAACTGTGATGCACTGACATCGTTCAGAGTGAACCACTGACCACTAGGAGGCGCTCCTAAACAAACTTTTATCTTTTACTTGATATCACATGAATAATATATGTGAGTCTTTATTTAAGTAGATACTTTCTAAAATGGTTTTATTTTCAAAGACATTCTGTGTAAAACTAATTGAAATTAGGCTTACAATCTTTAAAAACATAATATAGTACTGTATGTTGAAAATATCAAGGAAAAAGTTTGGTTTTTGTTAAATATGGAAAACGTCATGGTATACTCTGTTGAAAAAGTCATATTACAGTATGTTGAAAATAATTTTTTTTAAAATCACAGTATGGTATGTTTCAAATGTCATGAAAGAAGTTGATGAATTCCATGTCACATTTGATATGGATAAAAAGTCATAGTATATATAGTATGTTGAAAAATATGAAAAATGGCAAAACATATTTCGTCTCAAATATCATGAAGTCATAGAATACCTTGTCAGAAAAAGTAATAGTAGAGAACGTCAGAAAATGTGAAAAAAGGTATAGAAAATATAACTAAAAAGTCATGATATAGTATGCCCAACAAAATCATGCCATTTCTGCTGTATTTGATGAGAGATAAAAAGATTTTTAGACATAAGTTCTTGATAAAATGTGTTGGACTCAGTACTTCTTAGACTACTACCACAAATACTAATGAGGTACTTTTACTGGGTACTTTTTGAGTAATACTCTGTCAAACTCTCCTCCTGAGTACAATAATTAATGTATTCTGGTATATTTGACGAGGGATAAAATGATTTTTTGCAAACATTTCTACATGAAATTGATGTTGGACAGAGCACACACACACACGTCATGCGCCTTGTGGACCGGACATCTCCTTCATAAATCGAGTAATAGGGAATAATCTGGGAGTTCGATGTGTGTAGAGGTGTGTGTGTGTGTAGAGGTGTGTGTGGTTAAAACGAAGCAGCCTGCAGTCACTCTTTAGCTGTCTAATGAAGGTAAACACAGCGAAGGCTGTGTGTAAAAGGCACAGCTCCACTTCCTACTTGGCGAACCTGTAACTTTCTTGTGCGCACGAGATACGTTCTCGTGCGCACAAGAAAGTATATCGTGATGAGCAAAACCATGTCACTTGGCCCAGGTGGTTTCCACAGAACGGACAAAACATGTTTAACGACCATAAACACACTCGGCTGTCTATCCACCAAAACAAACTTAAGTTTGTGACAATCACTTGCACGTCACTTCTGGTATGATGGGCATTCCCTTTCCGGTTTGATTCTCTAGTTGTCTCTAGTCGTAAAATGTTAAAGTGTTTCGGCAAATGTTAAAGTGTTTCAACGTGAGGTGAGGGCCGAGAGGAACAAGATGGCAGCCTGAGCTGAGAGCTCCGCACAACCTCAGTGATTAATTTGAGTTTTTTACCTCCACTCAGAGAAAAAGCTTAACATCTTTATTGACTATAGTTAAGAGTCGACATCTAAAGAAAGACTCCTGCTACAAAAAGAAAGAAGGAAGGATGCCAAGAAAAAACCCACGAGGCAAACAAGGCCTACCAGAACCGGAGGCTGAGTCTCAAAGGGATGATAGAAATCCTTCGCTTGTTGAGATAATGTCCGAGTTAAAATCTTAACGTTCTGAGATACTTCATCGTGTCGATGGAATTGATAATCGTTTGTAGATTGTGACTAGTCAAGTCTCAACAATGAAAGAAGCACTAGCTACAACAAACCAGGCCCTTGAGAATCAACTTCAGCGTATGGATGAAGCTGAACAATGAATTTCAACATTAAAAGACACCTTACAAACTACAGCACGGGACCTTCACCGAGCCGAAAAGTTGATAAAGACGCTGGAATCTAAGATGGATGATCTCGAAAATAGAGGGAGACGTAAAAACCTTGTTTTACTAGGGCTCCCAGAGAAGTCAGAAGGCAGCCAATTACTACTTCAATACATTCAGCAAAAACTACCTTGCTGGCTCAAACTCTCCCTCGATCAGAGCGGGTTCACCGCTCTCTACGACCATATCCCACGGAAGCCTCCAAGAAAGTAAGAAAGTCTACGAAGAAAATGTCAATCCACGAGGGTAATGCTAAACTCACCATTCGCCAGGATCTGTCTGCAGGGGTACGCCGAAAGCGCAAGGAGTTCCACCTGGTGATCAAATTATTCTTCGAAAAAGGCATGTTCAGAGGATTTGTATACCCTCATCGGCTCCGTATTCTTCACAAAGAGAAGATTTTTTTTTTTTTAAGACCCCAAAGAAGCCAACACCTTTGTCAAGCAGCTGCGGTAAGTCGCTATTTTTCTAACCTACCGGAGTGGAGGTACGATGTACATAATTTTTTCTTTGTTCTCCTCTTCTTATCATCCCATGTTGCAACGGTTATAAGTCATAATCGAACTCTCAATTAACTGTCATCGGGATTGGGGAAACATGTGGAAACCGTTTTTCGCAAGGACACATCTTATATTTGTTAAAGATTTCAATAAGGTGAAAAATATGGACAAATGTTTTTCATTAGTCAATACACTTTTAGCCTAGAGGGACTGTACAGAAAAAGTTCATGTTAACTCTGGTATTTCAATCTTTTCTCCTATTTTGAACAATCCTGATCTTAGCAAACATTTGTTGTCAATCAATATAAACAAATGGAAGAAATCAGGTATAAAGCAATTGAAACATTTGTTTCACAAAGATATAACATTGAAATCATTTAATGATTGAAGAGAAGAATATGACATTTCAAATAAGGATTTTTTTCAGATACCTGCAAATTAGGAACGTGATCCAATCAATTATTAAAAGCAATACATTGAGATCGGGATTGTTAGAAGAGGAGGATATATTGATGTCATCGAGCACGATCAAGGGTAACATTTGTGAATTTAATGCAGTTTTTTCTAAAAGAGCTCAGTCATCCTTTCTAACTTTAAAAAAGATCTGGGAAAAAGACTTAGGGATACAGATCGATGAAACTACATGGCTGAATATCTGTGAAAGAACACATTTTCCATTCACAAGCAATAAAATCAAAGAAGCAAACTTTAAATGTATCAACACATTTTACCTCACACCCATAAAGATGCATAACATTTCCAAAGAAAACTCTCCAAAATGTCCAAGATGTAAAGTAAAAGAAGGAACATTTATGTTTTGGGACTATGATCTCTTGAAACATTTCTGGGATTTGATTCATGCTCTCACAAAAGCCGTTTTAGATGTCAAAATTAGCCTAAATCCTTTTTTTTTTCCTGTTAAATGACATGCCAAACATTCATCTGAACCCCAAACATTACAGAATACTAATCACAATAACATATTTTGCCAAGAAATGTATACTTTTACTCGGGAAGAATGAACGTCCTCCAACATTTAAACTTTTCATTGATCAGATAACACATTTTTTACTTCTGGAGAAAATGACATTGGAAAAATATAATCATGGACATATTTTTCAAGCTCTGTGGTTGCCATTGTTTTCTTATTTGGAAAATATATCTGAGATATGACCAGTGATGGAATGGTGCATTTTGTGGTTATTTTTCCTGACGGCCAGAAATATTAGTTGTGTTGTCATTGTCTATATTGTCGCTGTATTGTATAATTAATTGTATAATTATTTGATGGTTTGACTTTGATGTGGGTTTATTTTTTATTTTTTCGTTTTATGTTTATTTTCATGGCTCTGTTGTTTAAGTTATATTGATAAGCAGGGAGGGAGGGGGGAGTGTAGTGAGTGTACTGTGGTACT